CCGGCCGCCCGTAGAACCAGACGTGCTCCCCCACCGTCAGGCTGGGGCGGGCAGGGGTGAGAAGGCAGCCCCTGCAGCACTCCCCCTGCCCACCCTGCCCACCCCACTTACATGTCGAAGAGCACGTTGTGCTGGGGACATGTCCCCATGGTTTTGCGGATACTGTCGATGTCAGTGCGGATGTCCCAGCCCAGGACGTAGGCAGTGCCAGAGGTGGGGGGCAGGACACCTGTCAGGATGGACCTGGAAGGGGGGACCGGTGGGGAAAGGGGGGGGTCACAGAGAGCAGGACCAGTGGAGCAGACCCTGGCCAGGTCAGGGCAGATGGGATGGGAACGTAGCAGCACTGGGGCAGAGCCAGGCTTAGCTCCTGTCCCCACCATGGCCCCCCCAGCCCACAGCTCACATGGTGGTGGTCTTGCCAGCCCCGTTGTGGCCCAGGAAGGAGGTGATCTGCCCCTCATAGAAGTCCAGGCTTAGTCCATTGACAGCCACATGGCTGCTGGTGCGGTAAATCTTCACCAGGTTGCGGATGGAGACGCCAGGTTGGAGATGGGTGGGCGGCTCCTCCACCAGCACTGGGGGCCACCAGTGGGTCATGGCCTGGGCAGGACCCCCTGCCATGGGCAGGAACCCCCCACCACAGGCAGGACCCCCTGAGAGGGGGAGTTGACAGAGGGCAAAGCCTGGACAGGAGGGTTCAAGCCCAGTTCCGTGGCTGCCACCCCTTGTCCACGTGGCTCCAGGGTGGACAGGAGCTCACCTTGGGGTGCAGCAAGGGGGGTGGTGGGGTACGGGGGGTGTGCAGCCGAGGACGGCTCTCCAAGCCAGTAGCTCTTCAGGAAGGGGAAATTCCAGGGCTTGGGGATCCCATACTGGCCTGCAGCAGACAGGGCTGAGCAGGGCTGGGGAGCCGCCAGGGCCAGGAGGCTGCCAGGGGCAGGGGAGCTGCACTCACCTGGGCAGACCCCCTCAAGGTACCAGGTGCCCAGGCCATAGAGGCCAGCGTCCAGCAGCAGCAGCCCCATGGCTGTGGCGAAGTTGTAGGGGTCTCCGGGCACAGGGCTGGTGCCCAGGTTGTGCCACTGGATGCCTATCCCCTGCTCCTCATAGAGGGAGAAGTACTCACACCCGAAGCCAAAGGCCACTGGAGACAGCAGGCTCTGGCAGCAGCAAGAATGGATGTGTGGGCAGAAAGACCCGGAGGTGGAAACAGTCCCAGAACCCCCTGTCTGGGATCAGCGGGGAGGGGGCAGCCATGGCTGCTTACCACGAGGACGCGGAGCGGGAAGGTGACATGGTCGCGCCAGGCGACGCAGAGGACATAGGGCAGGTAGAGGGAGAAGTAGATGATGCCACCGCAGGCCGAGGCCAGGTTGGCACGGGGGAAGAAGGTGCTGATGAGGAAGCACTGGCTGATGGTGGCCACCGAGAAGGTGCTGAGGAAGAGGAAGATGACGGCCGGGTCGCTGTAGGGCAGGATGTTTCCCATCTGCGGATCGAGATGGGTTGGAGCCTGCGAAGCCCCCCTTGTCACCTGCAGTGTCCCCTGTGCCTCACAACCTGCCTTGAGGATGAGGACTAGGAGGGCGCAGCTGAGGAGGAAGGGGATGAAGCTGCTGAGGAACCAGCTGAGCCAGAGGATGCCGCTGCTCAGCCCCATGGTCTTCATGGTCTCCTTGAGCCGCATTTCCTTCTCATGCACCACCCCCTTGATGATC